GCAATTAATAATTAAGGCTTAATATTGTTATAAAATAATATTTAATTACCTTCGAACTTGATAACTAATAGTATCAATCTGAAATTTGATTGCAATAAAACTGTAGAAATTGTATTCTGATGAGAATCAATTATTGTTTTGGTATACCATTCTACTTTTATTTCTGGTTCTTTTTGAAAGTTTGATAGTGATGAAGTATATAATACTACATATGCTTTTTGATCAAACTTATACCAACATCCACTCCATTCAGTATCTTGCAATATCATTGCTATTGTTGTATCAGCACTTTGACCTTTAAAAAGACATGTATATTTTCTTTTGCAAGGCAAGTATCGTTGAATCTATGGTCCAAATACACCAACAAATTGACTTTTGCTACATGGAATTTTAATTGTTTGTCTTCCAGTTTTTTTAAAATTAAGTGGTAATCTTTTTTTAATAAAAAAGATTAAGGTTTCACAAAACTGTTGAATAGCATTTGATGGCAAATTAGAAATATTAGGTGGTGGTGTTTTGTAATCATAATGCACAAGAGTTTTGTGTTGATAAAGCCCTCTTATACTTTTAAAATGTTTTACTTTACATAAGGTGCATTGATAGAGCGCAGATACTTTTTGATTTTTAGAACTTTCGTTATTTGCATTTGTTATAGCAGAAAAGCTTGACAAATTCATGGCTAATAATATATAATAAATTAATGGTAAAAAAATACCAAGTTTTTAATAAACATGTACATGATCGATTTGTTTGGTAAAGATCACTAACAAAATCACAAAAAAAGTAATCGGTTAAAGGGTGGGGTAATCGGTTAGACACAATCTCTACTATATGATCTTTTAAATTTAGGGTACTATATAATGACAGACATGTCATTTGACGGTCTAGAATCTAATAATTTGAGAGATCTTTGATCAAATTTTATCAGTTTTAGTGACCAAAAAGAAGGTCCAATAATTAAAATTAGCCCTAACGTGGAGCCCCACGTCTCAACCGTTAATCCATGTTAGGACAATTATCAATTTGCCTTACATAACTCCTTAAAACTATCAATTGTGTTACAGAATTGTCCAATTAAATATTGTCTTTTCATGTGATGTCAAAAACCATCCCTTGTCTTACAGATTGTCCAATTAAATGTTGTTTTTCATGTGATGCTAATTACTGTCATGTTTAGCGAAAATATTTGAGATGGACACATGACTTGATTCCTAATTCTGCTATATTCTAACGCTAACTTAAATATAGTGCTGGTCATACTGTGTTGTTAAGGTTATATAAGTCTAGCATCACCACCCTAAAAAATTTTGCTGACTATGTGATCACTATATAATCTTATTAAAAAAAACTGTTTCGCGATTAGTTTAGGGTTAGAGTCCCACCAGTAGGTTAATGTTTGGTTTAGAGAGTTATAGTTATAATAAAATTTCACGAGGAATTTTTTTTTGTTAGTACGCAGAAGGCACTTTCATAGGCAAAATTTTGAGCTACGAGCGTTTTTTTGTTGTTTTGATTT